TATATATATGTGTGTGTGTATATATATATATATATTTACCCTCAAAATGATAAAATGTTTCTCAAATTCATATTACCAAACCTATATCCTGGTTCTTTCAACTCAAATATTTTGGAGCTGTGATCTCTCCTGCCTTCTTCCATCATTCCATCATTCTTTACTCCCTATCAGCAATTTTAGTTTCTTCCCAAGATGACTGCTTACATTATTCATCCTAAGGAAAATGTTACATACGATGTTGTTTATCATGTGGTACTGAGTAGTTAGAGAGTGCGATGATCTTGTGGACCATTTTGCTTTTCATAGCAAAAACACTTTTTTTTGACTACTTTGTGTGAATTTGGTCAGTGTGATAAGTGGTCATGTGTCAACATGTGTCAAAGGAAGAGTAAGCAATGTAGACTTTCCCCCCAGAAAAATATATACTTGTGTTTACTCTTGATGCATCTATTTGTACCAGCATGAAATTCTGCATCTCTACTCTTTGTAACGGTCCTAATTATACCGAAATGTGCACAACCTTGGCTGAATTTAAGGGGGAAAACAAATTTAGGGAGACATATGGCATTTTAGAAAAATTAATGGACTGAAACACAGTCTGCCTGGAGTAGAGAATATTTAAGCTGACAATGTAATGATTTTTAAATAAATATAAATTGTCTCTGAAAGCCAACTAAACACCACGGGTTTATACTGGAATTTAAGATTTGGGGTAAACTTTAAGAGTATTTGGACTCTTGTAGTTGTAGTTTCTTCCCAAGGAAATGGATACCTATTTGTGGGATTACATTAAAATTATCTTAAACACCCTGCTTTGGAGACTTTACTTTGGGGAGAGATAAAGTAGTGAGAATTGTATGGTTTTCAAAGTCCCTATAACTTTTCAGCAGAAGTCCATGTCATGTGACCCCTGTTAGAGGCAATCTAGTCAGACAGCTTGGTAGCTTGAGATTTCGGCCTTCTCTTTACAGACCATGTCTGTAGCAAACAGAATCTGTAACAGACATCAGATTTCTGGGATTATCCCAAGAAGACAGGCTTTCTTCACTCGATTTAGTCACAGGATGTGACTTACTGGTTTAAGAATCATTTGAAGCAACTAATCTTTCAGCAACTGAAAATAAATTCCGGCCAAGTTAAAATCAACATGTTATTTTGGCCAGTCTAACCAAATTCTTCAATCAAATACGGGTTCAGGGAAGTGGTGGAGATCCAAGAAGGGAAGACAACTATAATTGAAGGCCGAATCACAGGGACCCCCCAGGAGAGCCCAAATCCTCCAAACCCCTCTGGCCAGTGCCCTATCTGCCGGTGGAATCTGAAGCACAAGTACAACTATGAGGATGTTCTGCTGCTTAGTCAGTTCATCCGGCCTCACGGAGGTATGCTGCCCCAAAGGGTCACAGGCTTGTGCCCAGAAGAGCACCGCAAGATTGAGGAGTGTGTGAAGATGGCCCACCGAGCAGGTCTGCTCCCAAATCACAGGCCTCGACTTCCTGAAGGATTTGTTCCGAAGAGCAAACCACAACTCAACAGGTACCTGACCCGCTGGTCTCCCCACTCTGTCAAACCCATCTACAATAAAGGGCATCGCTGGAACAAGGTGCGCATGGCTGTGGGGTCACCCCTCCTGAAAGACAACACCTCCTACTCAAGAAGACCTCTGGCGCTGTATCACTGACGGAGGGCTTCCTGCCAGTCTGGCCAGAACTGATCGTGTCCTCCAGCACCCGAGCCCTGGGCCACCATTCAGCCCCATCCATCCCATCAGCAGGTGGCCCTGCTTCTCCAGCCCGAGCAGCAGAAGGGACTACAGCACCTCCGGTGCCTGCCCAGCAGCAGTGCTGGGAGCTGAGGCAGGGAGGGCACTTGTGCTCCTTGGCAGCTACTGTGATCACGTGACTGGCTTGGGCCAGAGGACAATTTTGCCCAAAGGAGTGTCATAAACCAGGCTCATGTGCTGCTCCTTGGGGTGTGTGCGCTGGCTGCTTGGGAAGTGCGGGGAGCTGGGGGTGGTTTCTGACTGATTACTAGCATTGAGTCATTAATTTCTTGTGATGGGCTGCATGAATACAACCAAAGGGAGTTGTTGACCAAAAAAAAAAAAAAAGTTTTATAGATAATGTCCTTCGAGATTGAGGCTCAATGCCCCCCACCATGAGGATTTCAGGACACTCCTCAAAGTGATAGGTTCCCAAATAACCACTGGACGGGATACTAAACTGGCAAATAACAAACACACACTTAAATAAAGATAAATTACTATGTCACTTGTTAAAATCTAGAGATTTAAAAAAAAAGTTTTAGAATTTCAGACTAAGAAATATTTTCCATCATCATTATACATTCTTATTTTTACAGGAATATAAACTTGAGTGTTCCCCAACACTCATGAAATATACTCTATTTTGTCTTGTTTGTACTGATAACTTGTATAACTCTCTAAACACTCTCAATTGATACTCCCCGAATTTCAACTCCTAGTTCCAATTTACATATGATTAGGATAAGAAATAATGGATAGTTTCCAGAGAGTTACATTTTAGTTTTTATGAACATTATGCCAAACTGTTGAAGTAAATAGTAATTTATATTGAAAAATGTATATATATTTGAAAACCAAATATGTTCAATTTATTTAGATATGATTCATTACAAGTAAACTGAATTTTTCTAAAGAAATGCTACTAGAATCAACCTACACAGTCCCTCCTATGAAGGCTGTTTCATCACACACACACACACACACACACGTATACATGCATACATATATACATATATACATGTATATATATATGTGTGTGTGTATATATATATATATATTTACTTGAAGCATTTAAAAGGAGAATCAGTCTCTCAGCAAATGCTCATTGAGGGCCTACTTTATACACAGAATTGCGCTAAATGATATTAAGATAATGATTTGTGTAAAACAATGACTTTGCCATTTCATTTAATTAATGCAATCTGAACAACTTCTATATAACAAGTACTTTTCTGGGCACTGTAACCTAACAATAAGTAGGACAGATTAAAGCCTACCAAGAAATTTACATTCAGAGAAAGATCCACAGGTCAGGGAAATCTCAGATATTGAAGAATGGGTTGATTTGTCCATAAAGTAAAAGAAAAACCATCTGTAAAATTAAAAGCTGTGATGTATTAGTGAATGACCATGCAGCAAGATTAGAGTCAGGCTAGGGAGTTGACAAAGAACTAGTTTTGCCAGGATAGCAGTTGTGTATTGAGAAAAAGCCACGAGGATTATAACTTTTATATAACATTTTGCTTTCCCTCTTTTTCCTCCTTTGTCCTCTTTCGTCCCTGTCTCCTCTTCCTTTTTTATCCTTAATATTGCTGATAAGCCTTCAAAGCAGTTATGGCAGGCAGGCAATAGCAAAGACAGGCTTTGAGTGGGGAAGAAGAGTCCAGGTCGAAGGCTAGGTATGACAAGCACATTGATTTTGTGTCATTGTCAAGTAAAGGTTTCAGCAGGGGGAATGCTATATATTCACCACTTTCTACTTACACATTACTTTGCAGTTAGGTTGGTAGAATAGATTGCATTTCAGTTAGTCTAGTGGCCAAACAGGTGCAGAGTTTAAAAAAAAAAAAATGCCCATGAAAATTCCCAGCACTCTCTTCTGTATCCTAGCTAACTTGGAATCCATGTGTTTCTGCTGATATAGTTGGAAGAACAAGGCAACAGGTCACGTCAGGAAAAATATTTTAAGTAATTGAACATTGGGATTAATGTGTTTCTACAATCTAGTGTCATCTACCCTAGCAAAGAATAACAGTGCTTATTTAGTGAACATGTTTAAACTTTGCATTGCTTTTTACATCTGGGAATGAATATACTTATAAACTTATTACACTAAAACAGTACAAATACAACTTCACTGGTTATCACTGGTTTTAAATTCTTGTGTTATACCATATTTATCTTTGCACTATTATAAATAATACATGGGTACATGATCTGAAAAATTTGGAGAATGTTAGAAAAGGGACTAACTAGCCTCCTTCTCCATTTTTGAACAGCTTGGGTATGTATCTAAGTTGTAATTTCTAATAATCATTGGCCTTTAATAAATGATTTTCCCAGGAAATATCTCACTAAAAAAATTATCAACATTTTAATGTAAAAACTGAAAGAATATCAGGTTATTACAGGAAGTCTGAAAATCAGAGCCCAGGGAATAAATACATACATATTTAACAAACAAAAATAGGAAAAATGTTGTCTTTTATTTATATTTACATAAAACAGGCATTTTAAATAATGAAATAAACAAATAATATGTGCTTTAATCCAAAGATGTGTGTGATTCTGGCAGGCTATCCTGAGAGACCTCTTATTTTATCTCTCACTTGGAAGATTTTATAGTGAGACTAATCATCCAATTCAGGAAAAATCTGTACAACCAGCAAATTCTAAATTAAACAAGACATGTGGAGTTTTGTGCTGAGCAGAAACATCCATCTTGGGATGGTATAAAGAGACTGGACCTGCAGTGAAAATGCCTGAGTTCTTAACTGAACTCTATCAGTAATTAAAGTTCTGACATTGGTTGAATTTATAATCTCAGAACATCTCAAGATATTTCACTTCTAATTACTATATAAAGGAATACAAAATTCTTGCCTTGTTGACTTTATTGTCTTGTATATAGTCATTCCTCCTTCCCAATCCTGTCTTTCAAGTGTAATTCCACTATCTCTTCAAGAAGTCATTCCTGACTTCCCTCCCCATTCTAAGATAAGTGGGTTTCTCTCCATTGTACTCTTAACTATGACATTCAGAGATCTAATGTAAAATTCACTTCACTGTTTCCTTATATATTTGGTCTAATTACATCCTGTGAGTTTTATCTCTTTTCAAGTTACTAGCACATTTCATGTCTCAAATATAATATGTAGCAGACAGAATGTTCGTTAAAAAGACAAATGTATTGATCCTGCCTGGTGGTGCAGCAAGTTAAAGCACAGCACTAAGAAGCTAAAACCACTTCAGCATGAGTTCAATCCCCACCAGCCCCGGAGGTGATCCACATGGTATGGCAGACAACTCCTGACTAGCCTGCTGCTCCCGTTAGCAATGTACTCCATCAATTTGCCTGTTCTACAACCAACCCTGTCTCTGGTGAATACTCTCACTGACCCTGAACTTCTGGCCTGTACCCCAGTTCTGTATGCACAAATAAATCTTTAGAAAACAAACAAAAAAGGATGAATGTACTAATGAGTGAATTAATGTGCTTATGTAGATATTGGTATTAAGCAGGTAGGTCTGACAAAGATTAATTTGAAAGTAGAAATTGACTGAAGAGAAAGTTTTAGACACAGTGATTTTGCCAAAGCCTTCAGGTACTCTCCTGGAATATATTCTTTCTGTTTGGATCAATTCTGTTTTCACCTGAATAAGTGAGTAACTGGATTTCTGTAGGTGTTTCCCCACTTGTCCATTAATGCTAGCAGCATTTAGTCAGTCTTTTCATGGTATATTTTGAGTTTTGATAAAGAAAATCAAACCACCTTAGAATGAACAAAAAAGGAATTATAGCAGCAAAAAAGGCATATATAATTAACTAATAGACAACCTTTGACTCACAAAGTATTAATTAATTCTTCTAAAAGCATTGTGTTCAACTTCATACATTCCTAGGTCAATTAGCGACATAAACTACAGGTCACATGCATCTTTCAAATTGAATTTAGGACTGTAGTTACAATTGAGGACAAGTGGCAGAGTAGTAGTAGAAGGACACACTTTACTGTGTTGAAGAGAGGGCAGTAGAGGATATAGTTTTGCATTTTGTACCCTGTATTATTTAAGGGTAAAATTTAATTGATGAGGTAAACACTGAAAAACAGAGACACTTATATACCTGTTTAAAAAGCCAGGAAATTAGGAAGGAAAATGGCCTGATAAATACAATTTTAAGAGGCATTAAAATGATTTCAGAAAATCTTGAACATTTCTCAAAAATTTAGCTAAGTCAGGTTTAGTTAGGGTACATAAGAAAGAAATATAGACTTACTGAATAAGTTTTATGGTAGAGAAATAATCTGTATTCCATATATATATATATATATGCATACAGAGCTGGGGTACAGGCCATAGGGGCAGGGGCAGTGAGAGGATTTGCCAGAGACAGAGTGAGGAATACAACAGGCATATCAACAAAGTACATTGCTGAGGGGAGCAGCGGGCAAGGCAGGAGACATCTGCTACACTATATGGGTCACCTCCCTGGCCAGGGATCAAATTCATGCTGAAGTGGGCAGCTAGCTTCACAGTGCTGTGCTTTAACTGCTTGTGCCACCAGGGTTGGCCCTGAATTGCATTATTTTGTGGTTTTGAATATATTTTATGCCATGTGGTTTTCAAAGTCTTGTCCCATGCCAGCAGTATTAACATTGACCAGAAATTTTTGAGAAAAGCAAGTCCTTATGCCCCAATCTAACCGATGGAATTAGAAATTGTGGATATAGAGCCTAGCAATCTGTGTTTTACAAGTCATACCTTTGTTTTGGATGCATGTTCAAATCTGATAACCATTTACATATATTGGAACTGAAGTTGGTTTTAAGAAAGACTGCACATGAAGAAAATCCCATATCGCTGAAAGTGTGATTTCAAATAGCCCACCATATAATTTGAGTCAAAGAATAATCTGATATTCATACCCAAAGAAGTAATAAAGCAGAATAATTAGACAACCAATCTAAAGATAAAATGATTGAGCCTAAAGACAAAGTAAATGAATTAAAGAATAAAGAAGTCAATGAACATAACATATTGTCTCAATAAAACTATAATACAGAACATTTTCAGGTCTATTGTTATCTGTATCACTTTCTCATTGCTAGTGATGGCCATACAATGAGTTGCTGAAATAACTTCACCTATGGTCAACTAAAAACATATAAAAGGATCCAGTTATCTATTTTTGGGCACTTGGGTTGCTTCTATAGCTTTCCTATTGTAGACTGTGCCTCAATAAACAGAGGGTTGCCGGGGTCCTTTTGAATTAAAGTTTTTGAGCCCTTTGGGTAGCTACACATGAATGGAATTGCTGGATCAA